TACTAAATTAAAGGAATTTTAGTATCAGTAATTGCATATAGACTTGCTTGTGGAATGCTGGGTGGGGAATTTGTAATTAAGGGGTCAATGTAGTTAACATTGTTGACCATAGCACTGGGAATTTCCAAACAAAATCAGTTTGAATTGTCCAATCTACTTTTGTGCAACAAACCACTTGAATGCCTTCCTCTGTGCTGATGATCCTTTCCCATGTTATTGTGTTTTCCTTTTTTGCTCGTTGCGTTGTAGGATGACTTCATTCTCCCTCGATCCTTTATGCTAATGAAATATTACCTTTGTTTGGGCCAGAAGAAAAAAAATCCATGAATCATATTATACTCAAATATCAAATAAAAGTAAGTTTTCTTTTTTCTTTTTTCTTTTCTTACTTTTTTTTTAATACATTTCATGATTCTTTTTGTATGCAAGAATAGTTTTCAAAGATGAATCTATATGTCATTTTTTATTGGAATGCATAACAGTAAGTCATTTTTTTTACATAAAGTTTAAAAATTAAATTTTATATTTATAATTAAAAATATAAATAACTTTATTATTAAATTATATGACTAATGGTATCATTAGTTCTTTATAACGTGTAATAAGATCTTCTTTGTCCTGGAACAGCCAGCACTTTGAACGAAGTAACCCAACCTCGTCAAGGAGAGACCCATCTCCAACACTCCACGCCATATTTGGTAAAACTGTAGAACAGGCGTCAAGTCAACGCTACTGTATTATTTATTTTTTCTTTGGCCAAATCAATGCCAGTTGAGCAGCACGTCAATGCTATTTTTTCCCTTAAAAAAGATTTTAAAAAAATGGAGCACCATCCCAACAAGAGAAACGGGAAAATGGGAAACTTTTTCCAATTGAGAATCCTAAAGGCTGATCTTTTCTAGTTTCTGTAACTGGGGTTCTAATAATGGGCTTTTCAGGAAAGTTTTTCTTTGTTTCTCTGTTTTTAATCCACCTCCTTACCCTCTCTAGTTCCCAGAACTGGAGTTCAAAAAATGTTTGTTGGACAGGGGAAACTTCACCAGTAACAGCACCTACCAGGCAAGCCTCAATCATATCTTCTCTTCCTTCACCTCTGACATAGAAAATGATTATGGGTTCTACAATGTTACTTTTGGCCAAAACTCAGACCAAGTTAACGCAATTGCTCTCTGTAGGGGCGATGTAATACCTGGTGATTGCATTAACTGCATCAACGATGCTGCCGCCGAGCTCAGAAGTCTCTGTCCCAACCAGAAGGCGGCAATTCTATCGTATGCCAATTGCATGTTGCGATACTCAGATCGTTCTATCTTTGGCATCTTGGAAAGAAGCTCCTTTAAGTTTCACTACTCATGGAATGGATACAAGGCAAAGAATATTACTGCTTTCAATGATACCCTTAATAATCAGTTGGATACCCTCATAAGCAGAGCCGCATCGGGTGATTCTCATCGCAAGTTTGCAACTGGGACTGCAGCAGTTCCAGATTCAGAGCCGATTCACGCACTTGTGCAGTGTACCCCTGATTTGTCCCAGCAGCAGTGTACCTCTTGCTTGTCTTTTGGCAAAATTAAAGTTTGTTGTGATGGAGAGCTAGGAGGCAGAGCAGTTGGACCTAACTGTAATTTGAGGTTTGAAACGTATTCTTTCTATGATCCTACTCCTGATGGTCCGTCAATATCACCAGCACCATTGCCGCGGCCGGCGCCACCACAGTCTCCTTCGCCCTCAGATGATGCCCACAAAGTTGTACCAGGTACTGTATCTCTGCTTCTTGTTGGCTCTGAGTCAACACCAGAATTCTGAAACATGTTGGCACTAACGAAAGGACTGCCTGGATTTTGCAGGAAAAGAGGGGAATTCATCCCGGATTATCATTATTATAGTCATTTCTGTTGTTGCATTTCTCATACTTAACATCTGTGGCTGCACCTGCATCATTTTCCGGATGAAGAAGTCAAAGAAGAGAAGGAACCTGAAAGAGGAAATTGAACGTAACTTTTGTTCTTGGTGAATACATTGTTGTCTCGTTGTAGCCTAGGCTAAGAAAGTTTAAGCAAAAGGAAAAAAAGGAAAAATGGAAAAAAAGATGGTTAATGATTTAGCTATGAAGTTAGCCCCATGGAAAATAACTAAACAATGGCAACCTAATCACGTTTTTTATTTATTTTTTTTTAATGAAAACATAGAAAAGGATAATAGTGGTGAAGCCTTGCAATTTGACCTCGACACAATAATTAAGAATGGCAACCGATGACTTTTCTCCAGCATGAGCAAGCTTGGACAAGGTGGATTTGGTGCTGTTTATAAGGTAATTACAATTGATGGGGTGAAAATGACTTAATTTTGTTTATATCTCTATGAGAAAATGAAAAATCACAATGTCTTGATTTTTTTTTCTCTATGTTAGGATATTCAATCATAATTATTAAATGTATGAGATATAATGTGGATTTTAATTTTATCAAATTCATTATATAATTATTATTAAATATTTTGACATTTTTAATGTCAATTTGTCCTATTTTTCCTTTTCCCTATCCCCACATAATGAATAATAATAATAAAAAAAATTATTAGTAGGTTGCTGGGTTTTTGCTTGGAAGGAAATGAAAGGCTTCGGATATGAGTTTTCCTAACCCAAACCTCGGCCACTTCATATTCTGTACGGTTGCAACTCCTATTCAGTTTAAGAAGTAAATTCCCTTGGGTTTATGTGCATGGATGACAGGGCAGAAAATGTTTGAACATTTTGTTTGCAAGCAGTATTTTTTGATGCATTTAAACTTATTATTTTTGTGAATTTGCTGTTCCAATCAAGCATTTACAACTAGATTGGGGCACTAGACACAAAATCATAGGGGGAATTGTTAAATGGATTTTTTTTTTTTTT